CCGGAGGGGATGCAACGGCCTGAGAGGAGGACGCGACTGGGGAGCGCTCGGTGTGGAGAACGTAGAGACTGGAGCGGGGCTCCCTGGTGAACGTGGCCAGAACAGCACCTGTGGTAGCGTCAGTACAGACTGCAGTCCGCCCACCCCCCACGAAGGTAACTGTGATCCCCCTGTCCTGGAGGTATCCAACACCCACCAAGTTCCGGGTGAACGAGGGGATGTGGAGACCACGCATGACACCAGAGGGGACCACAGGGCATGGGAGGGTGGTGGAGCTACGCGCAACGGCTGGTCCAGAGGTAGGATCAGCCAGAGCCACCGACACAGGTGTGAGCAGTGGCGTAAGGGTCGTGTGGTCGCGGAAGAAGCACTGAGACGCGCCCGAGTCCAGCGTGAACGAAAGAGAGGCCTCAGCCGGTGGGTCACCTGACTCAGTCGCTACACAAGCACCTAGAGCAGCAACACAAGCACCTAAGCTAGACAGGCACAAGGCTACACTAGCAGGAGGCAAGCAGGCTAACCTACGAACACGGGAGCACCCAGATCCATCAGCAGTAAAGTCAGCATCAACATACAAAGCATGCTGACGCGCATCGTCCATGGACTAAGCAAATACATCAATCTTACGGGTTAACAGACGAGACCAGCAAGGCGTGACCGCTAGAGGGCCCCAACGAGCCCGGTAGAGGTCGTCGAGGCGGCGGAAGCACCGCGCAGCAGAGTGGTCGTCGCGACCACAGAGACAGGGGCTACCCGGCCCGGTGACGCACCAGTGGGTGCACGGGCCAGCGTCACGGCGAGGGGGACGAGGGGCCCAGCTGGAAGTACTGCTGCTGCGGCTGGTGCTCCCAGGGCCTCCCGGACCCCACTGCGGCGGGGGACCCCAGTGCTGCTGCGGACCCCATTGCAGCGGAGGCCCCCACTGCTGGAACTGCTGCGGCGCTTGCTGGTGCTGCTGTCCCTACTGCTGCTGCTGCTGCTGTCCGTGCTGTGGCAGGTGCTGCCGTGGCTGCTGCTGCTGGGGGGGAACGCCCCCACCGGTCGGGCCACCACCTGTGGGTGGGCCTGTCTGTCCAGCACCTCCTCCAAGCCCCCCTCCCCCAGGTGCACCGCCGCCGCCGCCGCCTCCGCCACCACCGGCGCTCCCACCTCCACCACCACCTCCACCGCCGCCTCCACCGCCTCCACCTCCCCCCTTCTCGCCCTTCTTGCCACTCTTGCCCCGTTTCTGCCAGTCTGCGGCAGAAACGGAAGCGGTGTCATCAGAGACCGACACAGCAGCAGAAGCGCGGGTAGCGGTGAAAGTGGGAAGCTGAGGGGCGGCACACCCCGCAAAGAGACGGGGGGCCACCGCATCAGTGGCGCAGGCAACGGTGAGGAGACTGCTCTCGATGGTCCCTAGAGCAGACGCTAGGAGGTCGATAGTGAGCTCAGTGGGGTGCTTCTGAAGAAGCGCGTCGCGGGCAGTGGCAAGGCGGTCAGGGAGGCGGGTGACTAACCAGTGCACAGTGAGCCACATGGGGGGGGGGGAGCAACAAGGAGCTGTGCGTCGGTACAGGCAGCACGGAAACCGGCGTCAAGCGAGTGGAGGTGAGTCACGAGATCAGAAACAGTCGCAAACGAGCCTAGGTCGGGAAACACAAACGGCATGAGGAGGCGACTGAGGGAGGCAGAGGAGGGGGTGGAGTAGCGGGCAACAATAGCATCCCACACCCCCTGGGCTGTCTCCACCTGGTCAAAGTGGGCGGCCTCAGTCGGGGGGAGAAGCTCCGACAGTGTGAGAGCGGCGGCAGCGTCACGCGAGAGCCACACGTTCCTGGCCAGGACCCGACGGTCGTACTCCGCCTGGGCCGTAAGGGTCGGCTCCGGGGTGGTAGGCAGGGCGGCGGGGGACGGGGGGGCCTGTAGGGCACCAGACGCGTGAGCCCACAGAGTGGCGCCGTCCTGTCGCTGGCTGGTGAGGAAGCGCGTGGTCTGGCGCTGCCAGGTACCGAACTCGATCGGGCGTCCCTCAGCATCGAAACGGAGGCGACGGGCCTCCATAGCGGAGCCCATGCTAGAGGCGACTGGAGCACGGCGGAGGCGGAGCTAAGAACGAGGAGGAAAACTACGGAGGGCTAGGGACGCCAGCGGGGAAACCGACGAGAGACAGTCGGCGAGAAAATAGTCGTGGGGCGGGGCTCTAACCGAACCTAGGTGGCGCTACCGGAGGGAAGAGCGGCTGCCAGCCGCTGAGCCGGGAGCCAAGTGCAGTATGAATGGTGTGGGACTGGTGCACAGGTGAAGGGAAGAGAGATGCAGTAAGCGCACAGAGTGATGCGGTAAGTGTACGCAAGTGTGCGGTAAGCGCACGCAGGTGTGCGGTGAGTGTACGCAGGTGTGCGGTAAGTGCACGCAGGTGTGCGGTGAGTGCGCGCGGTGTGTGGTAAGTGCAGGCAGGTGTGCGGAAAGCGCGCGCAGGTGTGCGGGAAGCGCACACAGAGTGATGCGGTAAGTGCACGCAGGCGTGCGGTAAGCGCACGCAGGTGTGTGGTAAGTGCACGCAGGTGTGCGCTGAGCGCACGTTGGTGTGCGGGAAGCGTTGACGGAGGAGGGCGCGCGACAGGCGGAGGGGAGGGCACGCGACGGTCTAAGGAGGGCGCACGACGGTTGAGGAGGGCGCACGACGGCTGAGGAGGGCGCACGACGGTCTAAGGAGGGCGCACGACGGTCTAAGGAGGGCGCGCAACGGTCGAGGAGGGCGCGCGGCGGTTGAGGAGGGCGCGCGGCGGTCTACGGAGGGCGCACGATGGTTTTGGAGGGCGCGCTGAGGTCTAAGGAGGGCGCGCGACAGGCTGGACAGCGCGGGAGGGCACGGGCAGGGCTTAGGTTTGGATTTTGCCTACTCACGATTAGCAGTGTAGACATTTTCAAAACCCTTCTGAGCAGTGTGCCCTTTTTGGAAACACTGATGGATCAGTGTAACTTGAAGTTTTGAAAACTTTACCCAGAGGCATCAGTGTAGGAATATTTTTAACCCTGATTGTACTTTAGGCTGCTCAATATGTGCTGGCTGCAATCAAGCTCGAGGCCCAAATCGCGCACGATTACTATCGTAAGTTGGGCGCTGGTGGGTGGGAGTTGTGATGTGAACTCAAAAGTCGAGCGCAGTGGCTTGTCTGGTTTCGCTGCAACACTTGTATTTTTCGCCAAGTCAGCAAATTTCGAGTGTGTTCGGAAACCTCGAGTCCCAAATTTCCGAGTCAAGAAAGTTGACGTTCTTGCAGAGAGTGCAGCTTCGACCAATCAGGTTGCATCGCATCTACAGTAACGGGTAGGTTGCAAGCAGACACGGAGTGACACGGTGTCGGTTGTCAGTACTCACGTGTGCTGGCGTCGTAGTGCATCATTACGAAATTGGGTGTATCGTTACGAAGGTTCTAGGAAACTTCTTCTCAATCAGTAGAGTTTCCGAGGGGGGGGGGGGGGGGGGGGGGGAGTCCCTGTACGCTCTTCAGGGTAATCTTCGCTAAGGGAAAAATTACCCCAGAGCATCAGTGTGGCCTAAATCATTACACTTACAGATCAGTGTAACACTAACTCACCAAAAAATTACCCCAGCACATCAGTGTAGACCCAAAAATTCACCCTTGTAATCAGTATAGAAGGGTAAATTACACTGCAAACCTGAGCCCTGGGCACGGGCTAGGCGCGAGGAGAGAGCGCGGAGGGCGCGAGAGCACGGAGGGCGCGTAGGGCGCGTAGGGCGCGGAGGCTAGCTAAAAACGAACGAGGATCTAACCTACTCGTGATACCATCTCAGAATAGGAATGCAACGGAAATGGTAGGAATAGAAACGAATGGGGTACAAATAAGCAACCCTAGAAGCTGTACCCCCTAGAGTGCAACTCACTACAGCCTATCACATCAATGTGCAACATTTGACAATACCCACTAAACCGCTCATGGATCAGAGTACACTCTGAGGAAAAGGCTGAAAAAGCAGACAAGACCTACATTTTTTTTTTTTTTTTCTGAATATTCAGAGTTCACAGCAAAAAAAACTCTGAACTTTCAGAGTTCACTAAAAAAAAGGCTGAAATATCAGACTTTTTTAGGTAAATCAGAGAAATTTCTCTGACTTCTGGGGGCCTGTCGTCGACCCATCTGCTGACAAGAACAATCTGCTCATTGCTCGACCCTGCCAGCATTGGCCTCAGCCTGTTGTTTAGCTCCTGCCACACGGAGACAGGGGAAACAGGGGGAAAGGAAGTGAAGGGAAAGGAATGGAGAAGCACAATGACAATCCTCACGAATCGACCCCGCCAGGACTGCCCTCAGCTCAGCCCCCAGCCGGTCATTCAGCTCGTGTTGAAGAGGGGAGGAGAGCACAATGCGAGGTGGTGAAGGGAGAAGGATATCAGAAAGGGGGGGCCACAATGACAGTGTGCACTGGGTGGGCCTGCCAGCACCGTCCTCGGCTCCGCCCCCTGCTGGTCGATTGGTCGCTTTCCCCGCCCCCCACGGGAAGGCTGCAGGGATTGAACTCTGGAAATTCAAACGGATAGCTTGTGGGATAATTGTGGGGAGGGGGGAAGCGTGGAGAAGAGGGGAGGAAAGGAAAAGCTACCTCACTCACCCGCCCTCCCCGCACCACTGCCTCTCACCCGCGCCCCCCACCCCCAGCCACTGCCACTCACTTGCCCTCCCCGCGCTACTGCCACTCACTTGCCCTCCCCGCGCTACTGCCACTCACTTGCCCTCCCCGCGCTACTGCCACTCACCCGCTCTCACCATCCCCACTCACCCGCCCTCACTGCGCCATCCCCACTCACCCGCCCTCACTGCGCCATCCCCACTCACCCGCCCTCACTGCGCCATTGCCCGAAGCGGTTGCCAAGGCGTCGCCTTCTTCCGTCTTCCCGCCCTTCAGGCCTGCCTGGCACGCAGCCGCGCACATGCGGAAAGCGCTCGAGCATGCGTGGGGAGGGGAGGGAGAGGGGGTGTGAAGGGTGAGAAATCTAGGAAACAGAGAGGGGAATGGGAGGGAAGAGAGTGGAGCGGTGCGAATGGCAAGTGGGGTGCAGATGAAGATGCAGGGAGAGAGTAGGGAGGCATGCGGGAATGGAGAGAGAGGCGAGGCGAATGGTGGGAGGGAGTGCAGTGCAGCACGGCGGAGCAGTGGAGGAGCGAGTGGAGGGGGTGGGAGCAGGTGAGCAGGCAGTGCAGTGCACGGGGCAAAGAGGTGGGAGGGTGGGTGGGGAGAGCGAGCTGGCACTCACGGACCTCACCGCACCAGCATGCCGCCCACGCCTCGCCCGTGGCAGCGCAGGGCAGCGCCGCCCACCACCGTCGCCGCCTTCTGAGGCGCCTCCACAGCCACAGGGGGGAGGGGAGGGGAGGGGAGAAGGGAAGAGGGAGGGGAGGGGGAGGGGAGGGGAGGGGAAGCGGGGGAGGGGAGGGGGAGGGGAAGAGTGGAAGGAAGGGGGAAGCGGAAATAGAGGGTAGAGGGTTTTGTGAGGCGTATGAAAGCTCACTCTTGGCCGAGGCCAGCAGCACCGGAAATGTTCTCTCCTCTTCCGAGTCACGGCGACCATGCTGGCATCCCCTGGGAGGGACGAGCCGCACCCTCGGGTGGGGAAAAGGGGGAAGGGAGGGGGGGGGAAAGGGGAAAGGGAGGGGGGGGGAAAGGGGAAAGGGAGGGGGGGGGAAAGGGGGCTGACTGGGATGGTGAGGGGAAGTGGAGGGGGAGGAGAGGGGGAGGGGACGGGGTGATATGGATGAATATTCCCTTACTTTTGTCATCACACACGGAGGAGAGGGGGTAAATTGGCGGGCGGCGAGGGGCGGCATTGCTGCTCCCTATGGTGATTCTGCTTGTTGCTGCCAGCGTGAGAGGGTGGAGGGGCGGGGGGAGAGGGGAGATGTGAGAGTGTTTTCAAATATTCAAATCAAAGTAGCAATGTTATTAATCCCTGAGAGCCAATACCAAACGAAGACATAGTAGAAATTGAAATGCGCATCACACCAGTAACTTCATAAACATGGTCATACGGTATGTATTACCGCTGGAAAACCAAACCATCATCATGAGCACAGACCCAAATTTCCCCATGTAAGAAATGCCGTGGTGCGCTAGTCATCATGCATGGATGCTGCTGCATGGTCCATCAGCCGGAGATGATGGTGCACGGGACGTGGGGGTAGGGAAGGGGTGGGCGGATGATGCTGGATGATGCTGTGTGGCCCTGTAGGTGGGGAATCAGGATGGCTGCTGCAGGAAGCAGGATGGGAGGGAATGTTGAGTGTGTGTTGGGTGGGAAGCGGGAGTGGTGGGCTGGGAGAGAGGGGGGGGTAGGGAAGGGGTAAAGGGTAGGGGGGTAAAGGGTAGGGGGGTAAAGGGTAGGGGGGTAAAGGGTAGGGGGGTAAAGGGTAGGGGGGTAAAGGGTAGGGGGGTAAAGGGTAGGCGGGTAAAGGGTAGGGAGGTAAAGGGTAGGGGGGTAAAGGTTAGGGGGGTAAAGGGTAGGGGGGTAAAGGGTAGGGGGGTAAAGGGTAGGGGGGTAAAGGGTAGGGGGATAAAGGGTAGGGGGGTAAAGGGTAGGGGGGTAAAGGGTAGGGGGGTAAAGGGTAGGGGGGTAAAGGGTAGGGGGGTAAAGGGTAGGGGGGAAGGAAAGGGAAGAATGGATAGGAAACAAGCAGATTTGTTTCTCTTTTAGGATGAAAACAGTAACTATGTCTTGGAATACATGACGTGAGAAGAAAAGAACAATCCATGAGTGCTAATAAGAGTGAGAAGTAAGGTAGAGAAGACATTGAAGTCATATACTGGGATCTCAGATCTCCCCGAGAGCAATAAGGGCGAACGCACCCATACATACACTGTCAAACACACACCTCTCACCCATTCACCCATCTTCCTTCCTTCCACATTCGACTCCCCTCTTCACACTCACCTTCCTCACGACCCCGCTCTCTTGGTGTGTCTTAGGGACATTTACATTGAATCCCCACAGACCGGTTTAAGCATAAACCGCAAAGGTATGCATGCACAAGCACGGTCGTACAGTCACCTTCCCCCACAGTCGCCTTCCCCCACAGTCACCTTCCCCCACAGACACCTTCCCTCCCTTCAAATACACCGTCCTCGAATCCGGGAACTGTTCGGGTGTCTTGCGGTTATACACTGGAATTTCTACCGACCAGTCCTCTTTACGAACAGTGCATCGGTGTCAAAGTCAACTGAGGGAAGTGAGGGAGGAGGGAGTGGAGCAGTCAGGGAGTAGACAGAGGGAAGGAGGCAGGCAGAGGGAGGAAACGAGACAGGTGGGGGAAGGCAAAGAGAGGATACCGTGGGGGAGGGGAAGGGGGAGGCAGAGGGGCGAAGCAGAGGGAGGAGATGGAGGAAGGAGGTAGGTAAGCAAGCACAAGCGAGGCAGTTCCACAGTTCGATCACATTTGAGTCGATCCAAAATATTTACCAACCCTGCTTGAGCCGAAGTCACTAGCATGCTTCAGCTCTTCTTTCGTAAACTTGCAAGAAACGGAGTGGTGGTTACCAACTTACCACCAGTGCCACATACAGTGGTAACCATATGCACACAGGCTGAGGGCGTTTTTTGAGAATTCTCAAGAAGTTTTTGAGACTTCCCCAAAACGAGGTCGCGGTTACCGCCAGTGGTAAGCAACCATGTGCATGTAGACTGAGCTGTGGTTGCCAGGACGGTCAAAGCTGAAGTCACTGGCATGCTTCACCTCTTCCTCTCTCAACTCATGAGAGAAGAGCTGGTGGTTACCACCAGCAGTGGCAGCACCATGTGCAGGGTAACTATATGCATACAGACTGAGCTGTGGTTACCAGGACAGTCGAAAGGTGAACTAGCTGACGAGATCAATGCATACCCGATTAAGTGAGTGGTTGTTAACTTGTTACCGTGCTACCAGGATGGTCAACGCGAAATGAGATTCTTTTCTAGACGTCTCAAAAAACAATATTATTTTGTACGAATACCAGAACTAACAACTGGTTACCCGCTTACCAGGATGGTCTAAGCTGAAATCACTCGCATGTTTCAGCTCCTCCTCTGTCAACCCACGGTAGAAGGAATCCTGTCAGCATGCAAGCAAGCGAGGAAAAGGGCAAGCGAAAACAATCGGGGTTTTCACTTTAGTAAACATGCCTATGTATGAAACGGAGGGGGAAGGGAGGGGGGGAAAAAGGGGGCTGACTGGGATGGGGAAATGGAGGGGGAGGAGAGGGGGAGGGGAAGGGGTGATATTGACAAATATTCCCTTACTTGTGTCATCACACACGGAGGGAAAGGGGTAATTTGGCGGGGGGAGAGGGGCGCATTGCTGCTCCCCATGGTGATTCTGCTTGTTGCTGCCAGCGTGGAGAGGGTTAGGGGCAAATAGGGTAGCGAGGGAGGGGGAGGGGGGGTCATGGAACGGAGTGGGGTGAGGCAGGGGGGAGGGAGGTGGCGGGTGGACCTCCCTGGTTATACACACACGCCATGGCACGCCGCACCTTGTGCGCGTTGCAGCTGCTGCCACTCTGGTGAGGGCCAGAAGGGGTCGGGCAATGGGGGGAGGGGGGAGGTGAAGGGTGGCGGGCAGAGCGGATAGAGAAGGGAAGGCGGGGCGGGTGGGGGGAAATGGGCAGGAGAAAGGCTGGCAAAGAGGGTGTGGTGGGCAGGAAGGGGGGAAGGCGACGGAAAGCGGGGGTCGGTGGGGAGGAGAAGAGGGAGTGAGTGAGCACGAAAAGTGGAGGTGTGGGAGCGAGGACAAGCATGCGCCCACGTCCGACGCGGCGAAGGGCAGCGCCGCGACCTTCCCCCCTCCCCACTGCGCCCTTCCCTCCCCACCTTCCCCCTTCCCCACTGCGCCCTTCCCTCCCCACCTTCCCCCCTCCCCACTGCGCCCTTCCCTCCCCACCTTCCCTTCCCTTCCCTCCCGCGTCGTCCGCCTCACCTGGCAACGGCGCGACGTTCGTCGCGGCGGAGGTCTGCGCCGCGCGCTCCTTCGCGCGCACTTCCGCGCACAAAGCAAATTACAGTCGAGAAGAGGGGCAGGTGGAGCAGTGCGAGAAGCTAATGGGATGACGGACCGCGGCGCTTTTAACTCCCTCCGCTCGCGTTATTTCTCCCGAATCCCTCGCGAGGCCCTCCCATCGTTGCTCGCGCATCCACCATCTCGCGCCGGCGGCGTCGCCTACCACTAGTTCGCGCACTTCGCGGCCTTTGCGCATGGCTGACGCGCAACCGCGCGTAGGCGGAGAGCGCGCGAAGTCATGCGCACGCGCAGTACTGACGTGATCGTCCATTATTGTGGTTGTTTTTCTGGCACAAAATTTTAATAATAATAAAATCGCCCTCTCGTTCACTCCGCCTAAAAAATAAGGTGACTTTTGACGTCGCGCGACGTGTACTCCGCGAGAACGATAGATAAAATCCTGGTCAGCATACGTGAATGAGTGCAATCAGAACGGAAATGAAGATTTTGGAAGTTCGAACGACACACGAGCCTGTCCTGGAAGCTGCTTCATTTTCCGCACGAAGGTTCGGACCGACAGCACGGTGGGCCAAAGACACTTTCCAATTTTCCAAGTAGCGAAAAGAGTGGTTACCAGACGGTATGGAAGAAAGTTGTGCCTGAGGAGGAAGATAACACCCACTTTCCTTTTTCCAGTAGGCGTCACAACCCCATACCTGGTTCGGTCGGGAACAGGTCGACAGAAAATTTCTGGCTGGCCCGTCGTACGCCAAAACATGCGCACAAAATCTCCGAATTTTCCGAACACTTTCCGTGACCTACACAACAGCACCCACGAGTCGCACTCTCATCTAGAATTTATAAAATATAAATATAACCATAATCCTTCGTGCAAGGTTGGGGGTGTAGAGGAAAAGGAACTGCTTCTGATTGCACAGAACCATGTGGTTTTATATTTGCAAAACGGAGCACAAACACACTAAATCGGTTCCTTGACCGCGCCGCCGGGGTGGTCCCGCCTTGGAGTTAGTCTAACATGCAAGCACGCCAGCTCCGCTTTCTGAATTTGCTCCGCTTACTCCTAGACTGACCAATCACCACCTTAGCACGCCACGCCAGAAAACATCTGGATTCTACCCCACTTCAGCGCGCCACTTAGGAATAACATTATCTATGGCTCCAGTAGCATACTTCCAGTTTTCGAAGCTGACTTCACTTCACTTCACGTCATTCTTTTCGTCTTGCTTGCCGTGTAAACACAAGCTTCTTGTAGACACAAGCTACCGAGTATCACCTTGTTACACGTGCTGTTCATCTGAAATCGCCGCTGTTCATCTGAATTCGCCACATCCAGCGAGACGCCGCTTTCCTTCTAAGCGGGTACGGCCTGTGTGTTTTGTGCTGTCTGATGTGTGCTGCATCGGATCTTTATGTTCACACAATCGGGTGCGCCGTGCAGGCGGCGAAGCTGCGGGCGTCCAAGGCGGCGCTGGAGCGACACAGCGTGCAGATCGTGGCCACGTGCTCCGAGCTGCTCGTGCTATCACACGGCTTCATGTGCGTACCGTGCATGAGGTGGCAGTGTGTTCACCCACGGGGATCGGGATCGGGATCGGGATACGGGATGGGCGGGTTGCACGGGCCACCGAATTGGGCTGATTATTCTTACCCTTCCCATTCCCATTCCACCTTGCTCTATCGGCCTGTCCTCTGGTCCCACGCAGTCGTTTCAGGTGCCTGTCATTTGCACTGCTTCCGTACAACCACATCCCACCCTGCATTTCCCATTCCCAGTCCCCATCCCATATGATCACCCCCGGCCTAAACCCTACCATCTTCTCTCCTTGTTGCAGTCATACATTCCTTATCCGACAAATGTATCCTTTCCCTTCACACCCATGTCTTCAGGCTTGTGCCCTGCACACCCTGCACTCCTTGTACCGCATCGCTATATTCCGTTTGACTCTCATCTGCGGACAAGGACGGATCTGAGTGGTGACGGACTGGCGACAAACCAAGCAGGCACCTTGCGCATTGGGTGAGCACTAGACGATGATGTGCTGAGGTGACACCTCCCACGCTACGTATCACTTGTATCTCATCGATCATCCTGTCATTCCAATACCA